GTTATGGCTTTTTATTTAAACTTCATCCAAAATGTTATATTATTAATTATTTAACAAATCGAAGAGTTTAGAACAATGATTAAATAAATAAAGTATTTTTTAGAGGATATAGGCTCATATCTCATATTTTTCAACTAAATTTTATTTTATTTTTTAAATTGAATAGGTGATGACATGTTATCATTGTATGATAACACAAGTCAATAATAAAAACTAATTATGAGTGATTAAAATGAAAAAAAAATATCAACCAAATATTATAAAAACAAAAAAAAGGATACAAATACATAAAAGATACAGAGAAATAAGAGAAATACAAATAGAAAGTGGACGTTTTGAAAACAAAAATAAGATTAGGATTTTTATTTGAAGATCTCGACGATTCTTTTAGGGTAAGGAACAATATATATTTGTTTGGACTTCTTCTAACGACGAACAAAAAAAGTATGAAAAAGTGAAACAACACAATTTACACTATATTGTGAAGTTTGGAGTATTTTTTTATTAAACAAACATGATATTAATGTTAAGGACTAGGAAACAAATCTGGTGAAAAAATTTGAGACTCATCAGTTGCCTTCAACGAGAATCAATCACTTGATCACGACGAACGATGATTGAAATCTAGATAACTTAAGAGAAAAATAGAGAAAGAAAAAAGAATAGAAGAAAAGAATAAATAAATAAATATGTTCTATAAGAATCTAAAATAATGTTATTTTGATGTCAATTTGATTCAAAATGATATACTTTTAGTATTGTCTATTATGCAACAAGGTCATTAAATAATAACGAAGTGATCAAAACACAAATAATTCAAAATTAAATGATTAAATTGGAAATTTTTATAATTTAATAACTAAAATAGGACGTCAAATCATATTAGGTCAACTGTGTCTTATCCTAAAAAGCAGAAAGGCAGCCCCAAAACAAGTGATCTAATAACCCAATACCATATAATATTTTGGGCCCCCGATCGTGAACGCCCCTTCCTCCTCCATAGCCGAAATAACAATAAAAAAATCGAAACATTTCACTCAACCTTTATTCTTTAGGTGGCGTTTGGTTCGTTGGAATGTTTATGACAGAATTGGAATCTGTCAGGAATTGAAATCCAATTCTATATTCTGTTTGATTGGCAGGAAATGAAAATGGAATTGAAATTCAATTCTATATTATGTTTGGTTCGCAGACTGTCAGATGAATTTGATTTTAGTAATGTAAAATGACAGAATTGCCCTTCTTATTTTTTTGCTTTATTTTAGTTTGTTTTACAACTTACATGTAGTAATATTAAAAAATTAAAAATATTAAAATTTCATTTTATTAATCGATTATTCATTTCAATAAATTATAAAAATCATGCTAATAAACATCATAAGTTAAAATCATCGCAATTAAAATATGTTAATAAGTTACCAAAAGATAGAGCAATATTTCGATACATTCCAATCGAAGTATGTTAATTAGTTACCAAAAAATATATCAAAAACTATTTTTATTCAATATATGAATTAGAAACCCGACCCGACACGGCACGAAATAATAAAAAATTATTTTTATTCAATAAAAACATTGACTTAATTGGAAAAAAACAATTATATATAGAAGGGTATTATTGTAATTATTCTTAAATATATAAGGTAAAATTATATATTTTTTTCGGGTCGGGTCTATTTTTTCACCCTAAACCCGACCCGAATATCACATTTAAAAAATTCGACCCGACTCGAATATCACACTTAAAAAACCCGACCCGACCCGAACAAAATAAAGTTTCACCCGACCCGAATATATAAATTAGAAATCCGACTCGACCCGAAATAATAATAAAACATTGACTTAATTAAAAAAAAAATTATATATAGAGAGATATTATTGTACTTATTCCTAAATATATAAGGTAAAATTATATATATTTTCGGGTTGGATATTTTTCACCCTAAACCCTAACTCGACCCGAATATCACACTTAAAAAAACCGACCCGACCAAAATAAAGTTTCACCCGACCCGAATATATAAATTAGAAACCCGACCCGAAATAATAAAAAAATATTTTTATTCAATATATAAATAAATTACTAAAAGATTGATGAAGGTAGTATGGTCAAATTTCAATTCCCTACAACAAGGGAATTGAATTACATCCATTATTGGATGGAATTCACTTTCTCTCATTTGATGGAAAGTTGAAATCACGAGAGATTCCAATTCCCTTGGAAAACTTAAACCAAACATGAAAAAGTGGTGGAATTAGATTCCAATTCCCACCAATTCCAAGCTATTCATGCCAACCAAACACATCTTATTTTCCTCCAGATGCTTTTTCGGCATCGTTTCTGGCTGGGTCTCAATCTCTTAGGAGGTGTTTGGTTTAAGGATTGTAGGATTCTCATGGGATGAGAATCCCACATTCCCATGTTTGGTTGGGCGGAAATCTCATTCCCGATAATGTTTTATTACCAATAGTAGATTTTTTGGGGTATATTACCGGAATGTCATTACCTCTTCCCTTAGGTATTGTAACATTACCGGCGTTTTGGACTAAAATGCCCTTAATTTTTATTTTCAAAAATATCATTCGTCTGTCTTTAAATAATAAAAATTCTACGAATATTAAATTATAAATTTATCCTTAAATTATTTTAAATTTACAAAGTATAATTAAAATTTTATATAAAGTTCAGGGGTTAAAATTTTTTTAATCAATATACAAGTACAACATTCCCATAATCTTATTGATAATCTTTTATTCCAACTGATAATCTTACCTTATTTAAAAACGTACCTTAAGATCCATGTGATATGCCTTTGTCTCTGATATGTATCACGCTCTAGGCACGACCCGCCTACTGTAACGTGTTCAAATCTCAAGGCTCGTTAAACCGGCCTCATCGACCAAGCCATCAAACTGTTCAACAAAATGACCCAATCAGATTGCCGCGTCTTGGCAATTATAACCGCTTTATCGGCGTCCTCCTCCGCACTTCTCGCTTCGACTTAGCCGAACGCTATTACTTCCAGATATTCCCTCAGGGTTTCTCTCTCACTCCCTTCACTTACTTTCGCTTTATCTCCGCTTTATGCTCTGTCAAAACTTTAATCTTATCCAGCTTCTTTAGACGACATGGATAGATTGAATTATGTTCCCGATATTGGGCTTCAACATTATTTGAATCTTGTGTGTAGAGAAAAAAATGATAGATTTAGCTTTAGAGGTTTTCCATAGCATGGTTAAGAAAGGGAGAGACCCAGAGTTGTAACGTATAATATATGATTGATGGATGTGTAAAGCCCGGAGGCTTGATGTTGCTGTTGGCCTCTAGAAAGAAATGGTAGGGAAAGGTTTTCATCCTTATAATAAAGCGTGTTGTGCACTTGCTGTTGGCTGTGTGACGGTGGAAGTTGATTGGCTTATGACTTGTTGTTGAGATGATTAAGGGTGGAAATATCAAATTTAGTACTTTGCTCTATAATGCGTTGATTAGTGGGTTTTGTAGAATAAAGAGAATTGATAAGGCTCAGGCCATCAGGTTGTTTATGACGAAAATGGGCATGAGCCAGATTGGTTACATATAACGTGTTTTGAATTACTTTTGTAATGAGCTTATGTTGCAGGAAGCAGAGAAGCTGTTAAAGAATATGGAGAGGATTGGAACTGGTCCTGATGTGTATAGTTATAACCAGATGATTAAGGGCTTTGTAATGCTAATAAGCCAGATAAAGCATATTTTATGGTGAAAAAGATGGAGGTGGATGGGTTGGCTGATGTTGTTTCTTTAATACCATTATCAAACATTTTGCAAGGACGGTAGTATTGGAAAGGCTTACAAGTTGTTTGAGGAAATGGGTAGGAAGGGGATTGCACCTGACGTGGTGACATTCACTCTATAAAAGCTTTTCTTAACAAAGGTAATTCTGATATTGCAAGAACCCTTCTTGATAGGTCAGGATGAGTCTGTTGCCTGATCATGTTTTCTATACTACAATTATTGACCACCTGTGCAAAAGAGGGGGAAGTTGAAATGGCTTGGGTATTTTAATGATATGATAATGCAGGGATTGACTCTGATGTGATCTCATACAATGCCCTCATAAATGGGTTTTGCAAGTCTGACAGAGTAAATGACGCTGTACATCTATATGAAGAAATGCAGAGTAACGGACTCTCTCCGATGAGACAACTTTCAAATTGATAATTGGAGGGCTCATACATGAAAGAAGCTCTCTAATGCTTGTCAAGTATGGAATCAGATGATGGAAAAGGGATTTATTCTTCATAGAGCTGTTTCTGAAAGACTGATCAATGCTATCCATTCAATAGACTCTGCATGGTAGTAATTTGCATTTCAAATTACATTATTTCATTCTATGTGAATCTTTTGGGTGGTTTTTTACATCAGTTCCTTTGCAGTTACTTGATGGTTTGTTCTGAGAGCAATGCATGGGTGATTTATCTTTTGACTACTAGTCTAGTGCAAACTACATTTCATGCAATTCTGCTGGATGCTGATTCCAATTCTACTGTAGTTTTGTTTGCAACAATTCTATGAACGCAGAAACTAGCTTACAGGCATTTAAAATTTGACATGATATCAAGCTGCTAGAAGACTTTTGATATCGCATTGCAGGTAGTGTTTACAATTGAAATCTTAGTCACATCATTGCAATGATATGACACATGAAAAGGAAGTTATCTTGTGGCATTGTAACATTGTTATAAGCCACCATGTTGCAACATTTTGTCCTGTGGCATGGTATTGAATGCAGCCATCTTATCCCGTGCTTGCGTATTGGCTTGAAATTTTACATAACTTATAATTTGCATCTGTGTACCGATTGAATTGTTCTGTCTGGATGATAGAGTATTAATGCATGGTTGATTATTTTGCAATTTCTACTGCTCTGTGCTCTGTGCTTTCTTAGGCAACCGGTCCTGCCTCATTTTAATATAAATTTGTCTTTTCAGGTGAATTAATTGGTCTTGATGTTAAATGGCCATATAATTGGTCGTTTGGTTAAGGCTTTCATTCCTCTGTTCTTGCCACTATTTTACCCTGCCTGCAGAGACTCGGCACTATAAATCTCAGGTTTGTGCTGTTTGCTTTTTGAATATCTATAAATGAATTCTATACCATCTGGATAATTTCTGTTAGTTATATAATCATAAAAAAGATTGCTGTTAGGAAAAATGGCATGCTGTCTGCCAATGGGAAGGCCCCTGTATTTTAAATATCATCATAATTTAGTGTAAGAGAGCATGGTTGTAGCATCAATTTTGGATTTAGCCATGGTACTATTTTTTTGTTTGAAACTCCTCTTCTATGGGGTTCAGTTAGCTGCTCAATATCTTTCTGCATGCACATGTGTTTTGGCAGTTGAATCTATTATGCGGTCCTTGAAATTGGACTGAATGCTTCCAAGAGCTTTGACTCACAATTGTATGTTAATCTCTCTGAAGTTCATAATACTTTCACTAAATGATTCATATTTATTTCACGTATCTAATTCCCCCTGGTCCTCTTTTCCATCTCTTAGCTTCAGCTGGAATCTGTCTCATTGGCGGATCTACATTAACCATCTGTTGTTTTGTTTGGAGGCAATGGAAGTGGGCAAGCTTCAGGCTTCATGTTTTATGGTAAGTTCTTTAACTTTATTCAGTCCAATATTTTTTTGAATCATATATTACATCCCATATCTTGTAATTGCATATGTACGTACATACTAGGTTCATAACTCTCATATATATATATGTATATTGTATCCTTAGTATGGCTGCATAGCGTATGAATGCATATGATATAATCCTATTTAGGTTTCATAAAAGATGTTTCCATTGTAGAATATAATTTAAAAAGTTCTTAATCCATTAAATATCAAACGTGTTATCTGTTATAGTAACTACTGGAGTAAATTGAGCTATCAAAAGCTGATCTATGATCGAATGGCACCCGGATTTAAGATTTTCTTCCCCTAGTTGATGAGATCACTAAATGTCAAACCTTGAAAACAGGCAGTAAAACCTGCTTCTTTTGTCTGTTTTTTATTCATCCTATCATATATTTTAGTTATGAAGAATTTATTAAATGATTATTGCAGTTATGTTTTACAACATGTCAATTGGGCCGTGACGGTTTTCAATTGAAATGGGGTGCCAAATTTGAGCCGAGAATTCAGATAAGGTATCTCTTCCATTCAGTGCACCATGGAAGGCTCCCTATTTTCAAATTATCTTTTCTGTAATTTATATTCACTAATGTATATAGAGAAGACGAGAAGTATGTAAAACTATAGCTCAACACAGAAATTTAAAATGAAACCTTCTATTGACCTAAGTTGCCACCATCTTGTCCAGGTTTTCAGAGGATTATAAAATTAAAGACGAGATGGTTCTGTCAGGTGATGCTTTACATGTAGAATAGCTCCGACCTTAACAAATTCGTGATCAATTTGTATCTTCAATACACTAAACATGGCCCAAAGGTCATTAACGTGTAACTATTGCTGATTGTTTTCAGCCACTTGAGAGCATCTTTCAAGGTTAAGCTCCCACTGATGATATTGACATTCTGATTGCTTTAACAAAAGATAATTTGGTATATCTATCTATCTGTTTCTACCATCTAAATTGTACATTCTGCATCTATAAAGAAGAATTATAATCGATGAAGGTTTTGCTTCGAATTAATGTTGCCTTTTCATATTGAAAATCCATAAAGAAAAACTGCAAGTGCCTCGAAAAGAACAGTAACAATTAGAAATAGGAAAAACAAAAGTTGGAACGTTTTGCTGTTCTAGTCGTAAGCTTTTAGTTGTTGTAATTTTGTTTCCTTTCGTTGGGATGAGATGAAATGTTTTTTTGCAGGTGGTTTTGGCCTTTGCCCAAACACAAATATTCCTCGCACAAGAAATCCGTGAAAGAAACTGGAAAGGTGTAGTTTTAGCCTTGACGGTTCATTTTAGAAAAAAGGGGGAAAATTAAAGAAAAGGAATCAAGAATGATTACTGCCTCCCTTACTCAGTTTATGTTTGATTCTTGCCTTTACATGAATCCTTCTCCTATATGAATTTCCCTTCAAGTCATCCCCTTGGCATCATCACTCATCTAATTTTCCCTTTCTTTCATATATTTATTGATAACTTTAATAATAATATTATACTTTTAGTGTTATATAATATATTTAATTTATTATAATAATATAATATTATATTTTTATTTTAATAATTAATAAATATATTTATTGTAAAAATATATTTTAATAACAATATTAACATAAATAATATTAAATATTATTTTAATATATTATAATAATAATATTAATTTTAATAAAATAATATTTTTATCATATTCAATATTTATAATAATTATTTTAAAAAAATTATCAATTAGTGAAAAATAATTTATATATATATATATTAATCTAAAGAAAGTAAATTTTCATTGAACACCGTGAGAACAAACTAATCCACAATTGGCGATTTTTCTTTTTCGAACCGCCTCCAAGGTATTGCTCATTGCTTGCTAACATTGACACTATTTGGAACGTGCCGCCAGACAGTTAAACCTATTTGGAACGTGCCGAAGCGTTTAACTTTATTTCTTCTCCGTTGGCTCATTCTAGTTCCATCGGCCTTGTTCGTTCTATTGCCTGCCCAATGACGAAGCCTTGGTTGCCGGACTTTGTCATCATTCGTCGTGAAGCGAATGCCGCGGCCAACTGCCTTGCCAAACTTCCTACAACCATTGATGACCTGATCCGTATCTTGCATGGTCCTGCATGGTCCTGGTTTTATTCGTTTTTAATCTCCCTTTTGTAGTGGCCACTTGCCTCTTTTATATTCAAAAAAAGGAAAAAAAATAGTACAATAATTTTGTGGCCCAGTTTCACTTTGATTTGTGGTCTGAGCTTCCGAGCTTCCATACTTATTAAATGTATGCCAAACTATAAGTTTAGTACTTAATTATCATTTTATTCTATTTGGTCATTCAATATTTTATTCCAAAATCATATAATTTGATTTTATTTGATCATCTATCATTAAAAAATAATAGAACTGTTGACGTGACATCATTTTTAAATGATTATGTGTCATTCTCTTATGGTAATACGTCGGTATCACCATTAATTTTTGACGGTGGGTGACGAAAATGAAACGAAAATGTTCTGTTAAGTGTGATTTGAAACAAAAATAATTAGGTGATCAAAATTGAATAAAAGTAATAGTTAGGATACTAAATGAGAATTTACCCTAAATCTTATTAATACCGACAGAATCGTTAGAAGTCTGTTATACTAGAGTACTGATTCTTTAATCATTTGCAGTGAGAAAGAAAATCAAACTCCTGATTTGCAGTCTTCTTCCCCGATTCTCATAAACAATGTTGCTGATTCCCTTTCTCTTATTGCTCTCTTCGTTATGGTTAATCATCAAGAAGTTAACCACGAAAAGGGTAATCTTCCAAGCCCCCCAAGCTTCCTTCTGGGTAACTTGCATCAACTCGGTGCATTCCCACACGTCAACATGGAAACTCTCCAAGAAATACGGCCGGCTGCTTCTTCAACTTGGTTCGACGCCGACCGTCTTCGTATCGTCGTCCATCACCGCGAAGAGATATTGAAAACTCACGACTTCGAATGTTGCAATCGACCTCCATTAACTGGCCCTAAAAGGCTTACTTAAATTCCAAGACATTGCTTCGCACCCTACGGACATTACTGGAGAGAGAGCGAAAACTATGTGTTACTGAGCTTTTCAGCATGAAAAGGGTGCAATCTTTTAAATCGTAGGAAGAAGAGGTCGATTCGTTAATCAAATCGATCTCGGAGTCGGCTACATTAGCTAATCCAGTCGATCTCAGCAAAGCTTCCTTTTCGCTCACGGCTAGCAATCTTTAGAATTGCTTTCGGGAAAAGATTTCAGGGGAGTGAACTGATAACGATAAGCTACAGAAACTGGTATTTGAGGTTGAAAATATGGGGAGCTTTTGCTTCGGTTTCTCCCATATGTGGGAAAAGTGGTTGACTGTTTACTGATCTCCATAGAAGGCTGAAGATAGCTTTCGTGAACTTGATGCTGTTTTCCAGCAGGTTATCGATGAACATCTCGAATCTGGAACGGTTGTGCACAACGAAGATGACATGGTCAATGTACTGTTGAGAATGGAGAAAGATCAAACCGAGAATAGTGCTATTCATCTTACCAGAGATCATATCAGGCAATCCTCATGGTAAGTAACCAAACCTCTAGTTTTCTTTTCAATATTTCTGTAGAAATTACGTGACCAAGTCTAATTTCATCATTCTTGTTAAATATTATCTTGAACTTTTGATATTATCTTTAAAAATCACTAATTTTTCATTAGTCAAGATCTTTAAAATATTGATTTGTTATGACCTCTTAGAAGCGTATCTTTGAGACATAAGCCTCTGAATTAAATATACTATATGCTTGACATCATCTGTGAAGAGTTATTATAAATATATTCAATCAAAATTTAAAAGAGGTTCGAACCTTTTATCAAGTACACATAATCTCCGTCCTGTTAAGCATCGGTCAACGACCGTTATCTACTGACTCGACTCTCCTCCACAAGGGAAGAATTAAACGACTAACGGCCAACAATAACAGTTTATTCCCATCATCACGACTCAAATTCTTTTGCACTTCTATAACTTTAAGATTCACATTACAAGATCGGTTTGTAAGCATATTGTGAAAATGATGCGAGATACTCCATATTTTTATAGATACTGAATTTAGGATATATAAGATATTATTTTTCATAATCCTATAGTTAATTATTATTAGAGGTACGTAAGACTGAAACACATTATATCTTGTCTTTTTTACATATCTTATTTAAAGTTGATATCATATTATTTGTTTTTCTGCTCCCAAATTACTTACTGTTTATCAGGACATATTCGTCAGGATATATTCGTAGCTGGAATCGACACAAGTGCTATTACCATGATCTGGGCATGACAGAGCTAGCAAGGAATCCAACAGCGATGAAGAAAGCACAAAATGAGATTAGAACTCGCGTTGGGAAGAAAGGAAACTAACAGAAAATGATGTCAGTGACTTAAATACCTCAACATGATCATTAAAGAAACTTTCAGATTACATCTTCCAACTGTACTTCTTCTTCCAAGGGAAACTGCGTCCCAAATAAGGATCGGAGATTATGATATATACCCGAAGACCAGAATTGCAGTGAATGCTTGGGCAATAGGGCGGGATTCTGATATCTGGGACAACCCCGAAGAGTTCATTCCCGAAAGGTTCGTTGATGATCAGATTGATTTCAGGGGGCAACATTTCGAGCTATTGCCGTTCGGGCTGGTAGAAGAATTTGCCCTGGAATCAACATGGGAATGGCTGTTTACAGTTGGCATTGGCGAATCTGCTGTATTTTGACTGGGAAGTACCAAGGGGATGGACATTGAGTGGAAGAGAAAGTAAGTTTAGCAGTTGGTAAAAAACTGCACTTATATGAAGCCTACAAGTATAACATCTGGGAAGAAAAAGATGAGGCATGGCAGAAACACATGATTTTATAATTCCGAATTGTATGATTATGAATAAAAATAAATGGATGGAAACAATTATCTATCTATCCATTTGGAATGATTTTACAATCATTAAAAAATCCAGACCAATATATGAGTTTTCAATCAGCCGACCAAAGTGAAGAGGTTAATTAACATTACCGTGGTGGTGATGGGGTACGAAAGGTATAAGGCAGTAGCCACACTAAGGGTAACATATGTATAACTCTGAAAAATCTCAATTGCATCTCAAAACTACATACAAATCTAATTATAAAACACCGAAAGCGAATCTATTAAAAACTTTTCATTGTCTAAGCAAGTCGGGTTAGATGTTTCATGAATCTTTATTTTCCCTAAAATACAAATATGACGCATATTCAAACACGAGTATGGAAATCATCCAAATTTCTACAAGAAATGTATATATCCTATACTCACTTGAGTCCCGATAACATTGTCGTTACAGAGCATTGGAGCAAAATAGGTTAGAATGACAAAATGCAGACTACCATAACGAAAAGAAAAAGGAGGAGCTGCATCATCTGCGAACATCTATTGTTATAAGAGAGAGTACCCTGAGAATGAAAGAACATTAACAAAAAGCACCGGAAAGTACCTTGAGAATGAAAGAACTCCATCGAGTCATTTGTTCATTGAGAATTCACCAATGTTCTCCCTGTAGAGAGACAATTATGTTCCACTTTCTACTTGCCACACAGGAAATCAGCTATTGCGACTGTGAGTTAATCGGTTGCTCTTCCTCACCTGTCCTAATGGTTAGAAATGAACAGAAAAATGCATCTCTCAACGATGATCAAAGCCCTGAATGTGGGAGGGATAAAAGAGGGGAAAATAAATGAAAAGAGTAAAATCCAACAATGATATTAATAAGAAAACAGATTGGAAAGGAAACCAGATAGTTACACATAGATTAGCTTGATTAGAAAGACTGGTCGCCATGAAGTATGAACAAGAAAGATTCAACTCTAGGATATCAGTGCATGTCAAAATTAAAAACTGAAAAACCCATTGCAAATGAAGGGGCTTTGAAGAATGAAGTTACTATGAACTGATTTTACACAGAACAAAGAGTAAAGTATAATTAGAGAAGTGGTTTTTTTTTTTTGATAGGAATGTAGGCTCATTAAAAACCCCCTTGAATAAGGAACTATAATGAGTTCCTTCATCAGAGGAAGGAGGAAAGAGTGCCTTAAACTTCATTAATGAAAATACATAAGATTACAACAAGAAGATAAGCCCCTTACAACAATTTGAAAATCCCAACAAAAATACCCTAAGACACACGGAATTAGCCAATGGCGGATTTAGCCAACCCATCAGCCTCAATATTGGCTGTCGAGCAACCCATAATAACACCCTCAACTTCTTTTAGCTTAATTGTTAGTTCCTTACAAGAATGACAAAAATCTGAGGGCAGAAAGTCCATTCTTAACCCAATCCACTGCCAATTTGCAGTCTGATTCTAACAACAAACGACCATTAATACCTCCTTTCACTGAATCAAAGAAAATTAAGCCCTTCTGAATAGCCCTTAGCTCCATCATAATAGGTGGACCTGGACCCGTGGCCTCCTTAAAAGATCTAGAATAAGACCTTCCTCATCTCTTAGAATACCCGCAACTCCACTGCTGTTCCAATCAGAATTTGTAGCTGCATCATTCAATTTTACAAAGCCTTAGGAGGGGGACCAAGGAATTGTAGTAACAATCGATTTGTTGAGAGGAAAATGAATCCCCAGAGAAGGGTCCCCGATAGAGAATCCATTAAAATAACGAATCTGCAAACTTAGCTGAGAACCAAGATGCAAGTCGTACTCTTGCTAGGAAAATAGATTAAGATGGTCAAACTTCCCCTATCAAAACAATATCATTTCTTACTTTCCAAACAGTCCAAATAACAACGGCAGAATGAACTTCCAAATAGTAGACCTAATTAGATCTTCCCAAGCTTGAAGAAACTTCTGCGCATTTGTATGAAAAACCACAGAAAGACTCCAAATGCACAAATTTGTTCCAAAGTGACCACACAACTGAACACGAGAAAAATAAATGAGAAGAAGATTCCCTCCAAATTACATAGAGGACAAGAAAGATCTTATACCGTAACCCCTCTCTAACCATTCAGACCTCACTGGCAGTTTTTGAAAGACTACATGCCACATGAATACCTCGACTCTTGGTGGCACCAGACCTTTCCACACAAATCTTCCAAACATAATCCTTCTGAGCCAAAGAACAAGTCTTCACACATGAATTAGCAGAATAGACACCAGTTCCGTTTCCTTTCCAAATCATACCATCGATGCCTCTTAGACAGACAAAAATTAGAAATGATAGCCATCAGGTTAGCCCACTGTTCAATTCCCAATCGGCTAAGCTTCTCCTCAACTGAATATTCCAGATCATCCCAAAGAACTGAACTCGCCAAATTCAATCAGTTTTCCAAACTGGTTGTAGAGATTGCGAACAGCCTCGGAAAGAAACCTTAAGAGGGCAGTCCATTGCCATTTGTCCTGCCAAAAATAAATGACCATTCCCAACTCCTAGTCGAACATGCTGCGGAAATAGCAACCAAAAGAGTTTCTTAAAATAAGAATTCACCGAGCTCTAAATCCAAGAAGCTTGAGCTGAGATTTTGCTATTGAACAAAAAAAAAAAGGATCAATATTGTATTTGAAAGATCATTCTCCTCAAACAACATCCTTGTCATTAGCAAATCTCCAAGACCATTTCCCCAATAGTGCTCTGTCATATTGCTAATATTTAACACTCCTACCAGCCTCCTTTGGCTTGCACACGTAAGCAACTAAAATGAATCTTATTTTTCTCCACCTCCCAGAACTTAGACAGATTGAGTTGAGTTTAGAAGTTACGGATGAGGATAGTTAGTAGAGAACAGAGAACCGATTAATCAAAACTATCCCTGCCAAGGAAAGGTGGCAGCTTTCCAACTGCTAGTTTGTTGTTAAATTTTGAAACAACCGGATCCCAAAGAGAGGTTGAATTCCGTTGCACCAAGCGGCAGACCTAGATAATCAGAAGGAAATTTCCCCACTGCACAGCCAATAGACGACGCCACTCCACCTCCTCTGTAGCCGTATAACACCAAATAACTGCTTTTCTTAAGATTCACTGCAGACCAGACATAACTTCAAACACTCTTAAGACCCTTTTAACATTTGAAATCTCCATTTTCGAAGCCCCAGAAATAATAGGTCGTCTGCAAATTGCAGATGAGATAAGTTGAAAGCAGTCTCATTCCTCCCAATATGCAGACCAAAAACAATCCATCAGAGACAGCCTTTAAGAGCAAGACATTTAGGAGTTCCCCAACTAAGTTAAAAAGCAGGGCGAAAGAGAACAGCCCTGGCGGAAACCCCTTGCCATAGGAAATTCCTGAGAAGGTACCCCATTTATCAAAACTGAATAGAAGCATAGTAACATTGTTTTATCCAACTTCTCCATTAGAACCGAAACCATTTCTCCATAACCTTAAAAGAATAGACCATCCACAGTGTATGCCCTTCTAAAATCCACTTTAAAACACATCCTTTGAGTCCCTTTTCCTCCAAAAATCAATCCCCTCATTGGCTTAAGAGAACAATCCAGAATTGACGACCTGGAATGAAAGCAAACTGCATAGGGCTCATACAAAATGCAATTCCTTAATCTCCTCTAAAGACATTTTGAGAGGATCTTGTACAAACCTCCTACAAGGCTTATAGGTATAGTCATCTAATCCACCAATATTGGCCACCTTGGGGATAAGAGTAATGAAACTATGATTTACTCCATGTTCCCAATCTTTCCTAAATAAAAGTTATGAAAGAATTTCAGAATATCAACTTAAGACAACCCAAAATTTCTTGAAGAAGCCCATATTAAAACCATCTGGGCGGGAGCTTTGTTGCTCACATGATTGTAGAGTCTCCCATATTTCTTCCTCGTGAATTCTTTTTCCAGAATATTACTTTGCTCCACTGAAATTTTGAAAATTCATTTTATATCTTCTACTTCCAAAGTAGAACTAGAGTTGTAATTCCAAAATGATCTTTGACACAAGCTTTGATGACAGATGGATCTTGAGTTCTCCATTGACATTCAAAGCATTCATGGAATTCCTCTTTCTCCTAATCAACGCACAAGTATGAAATCTTGTATTGCGGTCCTTCTTCCAGCCATCTAGCTCTCGATTTTTGAAACCATATTTGTTCTTCATCTTATACAACCTCCATAATTCTGATCTCATATTGTTCAAATCTGATCCTCTGTCCCAAACATATTACCTTGCCTCTGCTACAAGTTTACCTCTTCCAAGTGAATCCTCTTTCTAAATCTGTAATCTCTACAGAAGGAAAATGGTCTCTCTTCCCCGCCCATTGTTTGATCGACAGTTAGTAGATTTCAGGATAGATAGAATTCCTTTCCTCTGATAGACTTGCATTCTTTAACGTAGACTCAACTAAATTCTGGAAACCATCCTCTTCCATCAAATAATTAAAGAGTTTGAAAGGTTTCTTCCCCAACTGACCCCCATTCTCCAGAAAAACAGATTTGATCTGACACTGACCTTGGCAACAAGTATTGGTAACATCAGGAAATGCTTCTAGGAAATGAACATCAACGAGGAACCTGTCCAGTCTAACATAGGGGTAAATCCTGGTGTTACACCAAGTGAATCTGCCCCATGTAAAGGTAAATCAATTAACCTGTATGTTGCAGAAATTGGCTGAAAATTCTTATTGAACTTCTGTTTGGCTCTCCCCACCTTCTCTCAGAAAGATGCTCATTAAAATCACCTCCCACACATAAGGGATATTCAGTCCACAAATAAAAACAGCTAACTCTTCAAAGAAGCTTGCTTTCTCTTCTTCAAACTAGGCCATAAACATTAAAAAACACCTAAACTGTGAAGTTCGAAACTTTCCAAAAACTGCAATAAACCTTCTGTTTATAATAAGGTTGTCAACTTCAAAAGAGCACTCATCTCAGCAACTCAATAGCCCTCCAGAAGAACCCTGCTGGAGATTCTGCAAAACCTTGAAGAGTATTCAAACCACTTCTCCTTAGAAATTGTCTTTGAACCTTCTCCATTTGTTTCTTGCAATAGAAGAAGAATAGGACGTCTCTTTAAAACTAGATTTTGAACAGCTCTGTGTTTTTCCTTCCTTCCCAAACCCCTAACGTCCACGTAATAATGGCTAATTGAAATTCATCATGATTCAAATAAGTATTAGAAAACCCAAAAACACGAAAATCAAACCAGCCTAAAATCCTCCTCCAACTTTATGATTTCTCCAAAAAAGCTGATTTCCACCCTTGAAAGACACACCCATCTATTACTGATTCCCAGTAGCTATAGCTTCCTCCAAAAGAACAAAATCTGAAGAAGAAACTGTTTCAATGCTAACTTGATCCAATGCCAATTGGTCAACAATCTTTGGTCTATTAAAGGACTTAGAGTTGAAGGAATAACTATCTCCTTCTAAGTGCCACCCTTCCCACATACTATCCAAACTGCTGTCAACAACTGTCTCTCCAAAGTAGACCCATACAGCCTTCCAAATTAGGTTTGCAACTGCACTGACGGCAGAACTGAATAGGATCCAAATCTTCCCATTTAGCCTCTAGAGATTCCTTCTCGAGGAACAACAATTTCATCTTTCCTAACCAATCTTCTCTCCCTGGATCTCTTGTAGACCTTTTGAAGCTAATACTTCTCTTCCAACGGTTCACTCTTTGTAGTCAATGGAGAGTTGGATCGATCAAGCGTTCTTCCCTGGAAATCTTACTTCCAGAACATAAAATGTAGTCAATCGGCTTTCCTCTAAATTTGATTCCAATCCTCTAGAACACTTTCTCAAACCAGAAAGTGGCAGACCTTTTTTATCTTCCTTTGAGTTTGCAGATTCAACCAGAAACTGCTTCTGGTCCATTTTCCCAAATTTATCCAGCTTAACACCAGCCCAGCTGGATATTTTAGAGGTGGAGAACCAAGTTGCCTATTATCTGATGATGGGCTATAGACCATCAGCCGAAAAATTTGAAAATCTACATCCCAAACCCGCGTATTCACCAAATTGTTAGTCC